TAATTAGAATTAATATTCTGATCTTAATATGCAGATGGATCTTTTAGATCTGTCTTTCTTCATAATTAACTTGAGTTCTGAGTAATTTTGTTATACTGTAATACAAGTGCAATGTTATAAATATTATTTGCAACAGCGCCCATAGAGATTGTCTGTAGTACAAGATGATTAAAGCTATTGTTTTGATAGAGCATTATTGGCATGAAAAATACATGAACAAAGAAATGGACATGTTGCTATTCTGTTCATGGTAAAAGCAAGAGGTATTGATATATAAAGAAAGGAATGCATCACAATTCTATCTACAGTATGTGCAGTGGCATAACGAAAGAATTTAAAGAGAGGTTCCTCTAATTAATAAACCTTTCCACTTCAATGTGCCACTTTAAAAAAATAAGTATAGCATTTCTAGCACATACTTTAAATTCCCAGTGTCTAATTATTCTGTCATAATCTAAATGGGATTTCCATTGTGCAGCGTTACTAGTATACCATTTCACTGGGTGTTTAATTAGGTTTACCCAAGCCGTATAAGTTAAACAGTAGTGATCATAATTTTAATTACCAGTTTCAAGTGAAGAGCTCTTAAGGTCTGTAACAGGAAGTACAGATGCTCCTCTTCCCTGTTCTTCAAGTAATGTCACAAATTTAGAAAGAAAAGGTGAAATGTAGTTAAAGGTACAATACATTTCTAACAAGTGAGGCTAAATGCAACATTTCTGTTGTACATACGTTTCTTTCCATGAAATGTTAAAATGGCATATTCTTCTGGGATTTCCTTCTGACAGCTGTTCAGAATTATTATCACAGCAGTCCTTGATCCTTTCTTTTCTTTTACATTTTGAGAAATCTAGACAGATTCCTGGGCGGAAGACCATGACATACATCAGAGGCCTGAAAGAACTCTATTTAGCCCCGCCAGGTGACAAATGAGAGGAGACTTCATTAAGGACTTAGATGCTTTAAAGCATAAACCAGCCGGTACTATCTTTTCTAGATACTCCAAGAGCACATGCATAGTCAAGCAGAACCTTAATTATAATGGATTTGAAAATGACACACCTTAGCAATGTTGAAATGTAGAAAAATATAGTTTGTTACTGCATAATTCACATTTGTATAGTACAGTATATACTGTACTTGTGCAAGTAATGTTCCCTATGTTAAAGCCAGTAAATAAAACAAATGAAACATTCTAATGCAATTTGATAATTTCACTGTTTGCCAGCGTTATCTGTTCTAATGTATGTATAGAGTTAAATCAGAGCAATTAGTTAACTGCAAGATTGAGAGAATATGAATAATACCAGAATATAAGGTTCCAGTGAGAGGAGGACATTTGGACCTTTCTATTTTGGATCTTGCCAATTTGGTTACTAGAAGAATATCCAAGGACCTTGTTTAAGCTATTTTTCACTCATGACTTTAATTCTGTACTTTTCATCATGTGTTCTAATACAGTACAGTATGTTGCAAAGGAACAAGAAGTAGGTTTATTCCATGCTGAAAAGAGGAGAGAGAAAACACAATGTTTTGGCTGTGAAGCCTTCTTCAGGTTCACAGTTCTTGACTTATTTCTGAAGGGGTTTATGAGACAGATCATTACTTAAATATGATTTTAGAAACCTAAATAACATTCAAAACAATTTCCAGAATTACTACACACTAACACAATACAATACATGTATATGTATATACACATTTTGCCCTAAAGGTGTAATTAATAAAGGACTTTGTCTATAATCTAGCCAACTCCAACAATGTGGATATGATTTTTAAAGTAATTTATCCTTTTTATTAAATTCACACAACACAAACACACACTTTTTATGCTTGTATTTATTAAAGGGGAAAGGAAAACCAGAGAAGCAATTGACAAAAGAAATTCCATCACAAATGACTTCTAGCCCATGGTCACATAATAGAAAAGGGTGAACTGCCTGTAGAGGTGGTGTTAAAAACAGATACACAGGAAAAGGTCTGGGCATACTCTCTGCACTGCTCACAACTGAACAGAGAGCATGATTACATTTTAACTCATAAATATACTGTATACCCCATATTTCTGGAAATATGAACATTTTCTATTTGTCCCAGAAACAGGGTATAAAACTACATAACTAGGGAAAGACTTAAAGGCTTTCTGTTTCAGAAATTAAATGGCAAATAAAGATTTTTATTGAATTTGAAACATTTTCACAAACAAGTATATCCAGCAATGTGCGCAGGTTACACAGGAGAAGCAGATCATTGGGAAAAAAACGTGAGCACAAAGACAGACCTCTCCCTTCTTTTATATGGCAATTACAGTGTAAATCTTCTAGTAAAGTGATTTTTAATATTGTGTCTCTGGTTTTAAGCATGAACAGGACATCTTCCAAAGTTCTTTCCTTTCTTAAGCTCTGAATGTTCTATTTTAAAGTGCAAAATATATTAATTTAACTGATCTATCAATATCTACTGTATGCTCTCTTACTAAATTTGCACTTTAAAATGTTCACAAATACTTTTAGAACATCAATGTTGCATTTTGTTCCACAATAAGATTTCAAATTAATACTACATAAATGTCAAATGAATGCCTTTAAAACATCTTAAAAAGTTATTTCACTTGAAAAAAAATATTAATCAAAATAAAATAAACTGACCTTTACTATCTAAAAGGAGTACAGCCATTACAACTATCATTTGCAGAGGGATCACTGAATAAAGCAGAGTTCAATCTTCTAACATACAGTGAACTACAGAAATGTGAAAAGAACAAAAAAAAAGAATTCTAGGCTATTCTTAGATGCCTTTCAAGGTAATTTTTAAAATATTGAAAATATAACTTTCAAACAAAAAAACATAAAAGCAAATGTGACTGAGAGGCTGCCCCCCATGGTAATGGAATGATATCCTTATTAAATTACATGTAAATATGTCACTCTAAGAAAAAAACATATCTAGGCCCCCTAAAGAACAAAAACTCTGAGAACTCCTGTAGAACAATCATTATAAACTGATGAATCAGCATCTCTAAGAATGTGTCTAGTTGTACACTGAAGATTGTAAGAGTAAATTTACAACTTCAACCCAGCACTATCATTCATTGTCAGGGCCAGGCTTATCACAGTGTATTAAGCAGCAAATTATTGCCTCTCTGATTGTCAACACTCATTCCTCACAGTGGGTGGATAGTAGTGATTATTCATTATTTGACAAAAAAACTACAATATCGATATAAATGTTTAAAAATTGCAAAAAGTGAAAGTAAAGAAGGAAAATCATTTAGAACTACCTACTATTGCATAAGGTGTTTGTCATAATTAAACAATCTGTTCATAAGATTAAAACAGTAAACCAAATTTCTGTGTATCTTGACGACAAATGATAGGCTTCTCAGTTGATGAACATAAAGTTTGCAAGTCTACAGATAGTCTGTTGCATTAATTTCCGTATTCTTTTTGTGCTGATCTCTCATGTTTTAAAGTGCTGGAACAGGCACTCAGATCTGTGTGCCCATTCTCATTTCTCTTTATGGTTCTGTTTCTGTTTTTGGAGGGGATTCCCTTGCACAAAAAGGCGATACTTGCATCTACCAGAGTTTCAATACACATCACAAGTATGTATAACTTACTGTCCAACCAAAATGAAATAGGATGTAAAGATAGACAAAATAAAAGTACATTAAAAATTAGCAAGATGTGTATAACAAGAATCAAGCTTTGCAATTTAAATGAGAATCATTTATACTCAAGATATTTGAACTTCTTTTGGTCTTAAATTATATGTTCCATAACTCTGAAAGCACAAGACCTACTAGGTGGTTTAAAACAGTTATATACCAAGGACAGTCAAGCACTGGACTTTCCAATCCATTTCACAGGGCAGGATGTATTTTTTTTGTAAACACAATTAAACAGATGACTGGATCAAAGACTGCACAGGAATGAACTGGAGGATTTAATATTTAACTACCAATGTTTATTGTTATATGTTTTATCAATGCATTGATAGTTTCTAGAGCAGGGTTCCCCAGGTCTCAAGTCTCCTTAAATCATCAGATGCTTTAGGTCCTAACAGAAGGTTTAAATGTTAAAATGGGAGCAACTGTCATTTCCTAATGTACTGCTGATGATTTAAGGTGACTTACAAAACCAGTGGGACAGAGCAAATTTCTTAAACCCTCAAAGGGGACTGAAGAGACAGCAGCTACATTTGGTCTGCATGACCATCTAGGACCAGACTCTGGGGGGAGCTGAACTTATTGAAATACACTGAGCTGATTTTTGTCACAACCATAGCAAACTACCACTAATTACCACACAGAGAGTACATCTTGTCACATCTTTCTTTTTGTTGTTCCAGACATGACCGGGAACATTTATAGATGAAAAACTTTTATTGCCAACTGACTTTATTTAAAAGACTGAATTAGGTTCAGTGCTTGGCTTTTTAAGGAAGCTTTCTATGGGGAAACTAAGAATATAAAACATTTAATTCAGTGTCATTTTATAATGGTCTCTGAATATTTTGTAAATTAAGATAACATTGAAAAACTGATATTTTTCACTTCAATATTAGATGTTTGGAAAAAAATAATAGACACTTGGATGTACTGAAACACCGTCCTTAAGCTCGGTACTTGTTTTTAACAACAGGTTTAACATTTTCTATGCATGTTTTTTCAATGAAATGCTCAAACAAAATTATGCCTACAATGTATTTCGGTATCTTGCAAAGTTCAGCATATTTGGTAACTAAAAACCGAATCTAGGGTTAGGGTTAAGCTTCCCCTTTAATCTAAGCTCCTAATAATTTAACACTTGCATTATGAATGACATACAATACTGTACATGTAGTTTTAGTGGTGTTTAGTACTTAGCTTTGGGTATCTGTATATCGCAGTATACGTGGCTCTTACAAATTAACTTTTACGATGGCCAGAAGAAAAATTTGTATTAATTCAAAATTATTTAAAACACATAATTCACCACTTTTAGGACTGATTAGAAAATAAGATAAAGAAAACTTTAATCATGAAAAATGTAGCCTTTGACTTAAAAATGAAAGTTACAGCATTAAACTTCATTTTATCTGTTAATGCTATAAGGTAGAACATCAATTAACATACAAAATTAATGAAACATAATTATACTTTTATCTGTGTGGTATAAACATTTTGTTTATAAAAAAGACAGCCTGCATAGCTTTTTTTTAATAAAGTGTCAATGCAATCAATTGTAAAAACATTAATTTCTAGCATCCTTGAACATGTTTTGCAGAAAGCCTTTTTCAAAAGACGTATTGGTTTAGTCCTACTGAAGCTCATTTGGTAGTATTCCAAAAGAATCCTATTTCAGATGTAATATACATGCTGTTCATTAATAGAATTAAATGTACTACAGATCCTCAGAGTGGAATCACAGTACAACTATGGGCCAGCGAAGAACATGTTTTATTAATGAAACAAATTGTCTGAATGTTTGACGATTTGGGGGAAAAACATGTCCCAGAAAACTGGACAGATATTGCACTATTAGAGAAAAGGGATTGTCTCAATCTGTGTGAACATTTGTCCGTTGGAAACTGACTGTTTTAATCAGAGATACCTTGGTGTGTAGTCAGCATATGGCTTCAGTGACTTGGGAAACAGTAAATGTCTTAGACCACAGTTGTATCCTATCATTATCACAGCAAACAACTTTATTGGTACACCACCACTGTGAGAACAACTTGGATAAACAACATGAACCTGATTCACTTCTTAATTCGGGAACATTACTAAAAGGAAGACCAGTCTATCTAAGCTTCAAATGATTTTATCCTGAGTCTACTTGGTATAAAGCCTTTCTAGAATTGGGAGTTTTCGTGTTAAGAGATGTCTTCTTAACTCCACTATCAAAGTTTACAAAAATGTGGGTCTGATACCCTAGCCAGATAGACCATTATATTTTTTCATTACATTTATACAGTAAGTGTACCTTTTGGTGTAACACACTTTCTTCCTCAAATTATTTTGAAAATGGCTTCCCCTACATCTTTTTCAAGGATAGTACACATAAAAATAAGAAATGGGGAAACAAACAAGGCTTCATGCACAGTGTGGTAGCCTGAGCTATTTCAAACTGTAATGCTTACAGTGGAGAATATTATTGCAAAGGTTTGCCTTAAATGCAATAGTTCTACTGATCATGAACCTTAAAACAGCTGAAACTCCTCTCCCATGAAAGTCTGATTTATGTTCCCGGCTAAGTGAGCAGCACATTTTATAAATATCACTGCTGCAAGATAACAATATACACACAGTATACTGCATGTGTGTGTATAATGCAGATATAAATTGCAAATACTGTATACTGCACATATTCAATAGAGTTTTCAAGTAAAATCTTTGGTGAAATGGTCTATCTTTGGAAAAACAGATACCTCTTTATTGTTATTCTGTGTTGATTGTTTTAAGCATTACTAAATGATTGAAAAGATAAAAATGAAAAATTTGGAATGAGCCCAAAATATAATTATATACTATTAAAAAGCAAAACACAGAGGCTAGCAACAGCTTTAGTATGACCAGGCCCTCTTTTTGCAAAAAATACAACCTTAATAGTAGTGTTCATTATCTAGAAAAAAGAACAAGCCAGTATCTGAAACACTGCCAAGCAAGAGAGTTTCCTTGGATGTAATAAAGTACCATTCAATCTCCACTGGCATTACGCATTTTGCATTGTAAACTCTCAATGCTTGATTCCAAGCCCTTATTGTGAAGAAATTCATAAACATATATAAATATAAATGTGAGAGTGTTTTTCTTTTACAAATGTATATACCTTTTCCACACAAAGCAATTAAAAATATAGGCACAGTTTATGCACTGCAAGTTAAGCACTGTGAAAATGTCCCTTTAATACCAAACTAAAGGCACTAAGGTGTCACTCCCAGCATTTGGTGTGCTTCTTACAATGAAGTAAAGAGGTTTTTTTTAGTTTTTGGCTATATGGAAGTGTAAGATCACAGAGTAGCTGTATCATTGATTTTAAAGGTGGCACTAAAAAGCATTTTATACTTTGGGCACATTTGAACCTTGTGGAATTATGTATAAGGAAACCTGACTGTTTCAGAATACAGTATGCATACAAATACAAGAAACAGTCTTCTGAGAACTCTTTGGGTTATTTTGCAATGAGCAAAATCTTGTTTCAAAAGTGTCTCAGGTGTAAATAAGAAGACAAGGCATGGCAGATCCTATTTTAGTCTTAAACCTCACCTAAGCAAGTCAACAATGCAAAATATTCTGCTAAATTTCTGTTGGGAGCTGAGACCGTGGTATGAAATGTGAAAAGCTAAAAACGTGGGAGCCTCTTGCCTAGCACTGCTATTTTAGAGCTGCACCATTGTTCGCTGAGTTAAACATACTGTAAAGCAGGTGCTTGACTTGAAGCTTTAATCAGTGTAGCTATATAAGCACTGTCAGAAGCACACCTTTGTCCTTGTGGGTAGTGACACAGGTTTGTAAATTAAGAACTATTCAACCTCTAAATGGGAAAGGTTCATAGTTAGTGTAAATGTGACATTTTATTTTAAAATGTGAGAATGTGTAAATGCTATATTTGTGTCCGCTTTAGGTGTGAAGTGTGATGTGGAGCTATACAGTACGTATGGCTCCTTCAGAGATCAGTTGTCGCCTTGGCCGTCAGTGCCTGAATGCGAGCAGTGTTACAGTTCTTGCAGAGGATGTGCCCATCCAGAGGGTAGCATCCCTGGTTATCACCCTCTGAGAGCAGAGAGCCACAATCCTGCAGAAAGAACAGAAAATACATTTTTCAAGGGGGTACTTATAGTGCTTAGTGCACTTTAAAATTAGGTAGCTCAGTATGAGTGATCATTTTCTGTGAGTACAATATATACATTCCATAAGAACCATCCAAAAGGCTCCAAGATCTAAAAACTTTGTAAGATGCATAGAGCTTGAACAGTGGAAACAGCAAACTTCATAGAAGGTGACATACTGTAGTGCTCTACACAGAAAGAAAGCAGTTCTGGAGTCAGTTACTGACAAACAGCTTAAGCAATATAAGCATCTTGAAGTAAGTATAGTTTATCAGACTAGAGGACTATGGATAGGAATTATAAGCTCTGGGTACAAGGTGAAAATGAGTTGGAAATTGGTTCTGTTGTTGGCATTGATCATGAGATGGTGGGTTGAGATGGAATTAGCAGATACAGTACATAAAAAGAAGTTCAGTATGTTAGCTCCATGGGGGACAAAGTTGTTTTTAAGGAAAAAAAACAAACTCTGTTTTTATCCTTAATCTTAGAATCTAAGGTCACTTCCTACACCTGCTAATAAATTAGGATGTAGGTTTCAAAGTGATATCGTTCTTCTATCAGAGTGGCTTTAAAAAAACATGGGAAAAATCACTCTGTGGATTGGTAAAGAGCAACGTGCCACGCTATCTACATACAGTGCACTCATGATGAAGAGTGGTAACCTTGCAATTTGAACGCACCTCACAGCGGTAACACTGCACGTGGAAGTCTCGGTCTAAGGCCACAATGCGAACTGTTTCCTCCTGGCCAGGGGCTGGCATGATGGGCTCCTTACACACAGAGCACCGAGGGGCGAATTTCCTATGAGCAAAGGGAAAAATGGATCAGTCCTATTATTACAGGGAACCATCAGTGCCTGAAGTGGAGAAGTGTTACAGAATCTTAGGTACAAACAACAAACTGCCTACGATTACGTTATTTGGGAAATATACACTGTGCTTATAGAAGTGGGCCAATTAACTTCATCATGAAAACTGGACTGCGGAGGAATGCAGTTTTGTACACATACTGTCGAATGGCACTATGAGTAACGTTTCCATAGACAATTGCAGTGCACTCTATAGGTTGTTTTGGCTGGTTTCCTGGTGATTTACACCCCAAGAGCACTCTGAGCACCATCTGGTGTGCACAGGTTATCTTATTATCCTCCAATGAATACTTTCCATATGCACAAGTTTTTCATGGTCCATTTTATATGGGTCCCAAATTTAATGACACATTTGTTCAAAAAGGCCATCTAACATTAGTATCCTGTAGCACCACCAATCCCATAACATTGCTCTTTGTTAAAGTCTCTAAAGCCTGCACAAAACAAAATCTGGTACACATTTTATTATTTGTACATTTAAAAACTCAAAATATGTGTGATCCCTGTAGTTAATTGTAAGAGATACATGCATATTAAGAACATAAAAAACAGTCTGTGAAGTGCTTCACTGTAAGCAATGTTTTCACAATAAGAAACCATTACAAATTTCACATTAAAAAAACAGACTTGGTCAGAGTGTCAATTAACATGTAGACTGAACCACAAACACTAAAACAGTCACATAAAATAAGAATTGTTCTAATTTTCACATATTAAATTTCCTTTAATATGAAAAAAGAGCAAATAAACAACATTTTCACTTGTTCTAAAGTTATACCAGCTCTTCAATTCAATTAACTGCTTTTCCTAAAAAGCAACACAGAAATCTCACTTTATCAGCTGTATCTATGTTAAATGGTAAAAAAGGTGGGGTGTTGCAATAGGGACTTCTGCTGCTCATGACCACAGGAGATCCAACCTACAAGTATGTTCACAGCACAATTGTTTAACAAGTGTTCATTGCAAGAGTTAAATGTGATTCCAAGCAGAAAAAAGTCAAATCATATGTATTATACCTAGAAATTATTCCAACAGCTTCATTTATGAATACAATTTATATTAGCGTTTCAATTAATCAATTGGGAATTCATAAACTGTCAAAATGAAAGACACATATTTCTGCAATAATCCCCAAATAAAACATGTGCAAGATAATTCCAAGATGGGAATTGTATGTAGACGATCCTTCTAGCTAAATAAAGAGAACATAAACTCTCCTGAGCAATTCAGAAATGCACAACATGTACTTGGCTGAAGACAAAATACAACTTTTGATAGATTGAAGGCCACCGCCAGAAGGCTAAGTAGCCGAATACAGTTTTTTTTAAACTAAGGTGGACATCACTGGAAGATTCCTGAAGATTTCTGAAACAGAATTCGATTTCCAAAAATGAACCTTAAAAATATGTAGGCCATTGTGGGATAGTTTCATGTTCAGCATATAAAGCTACAACCGAAAAATAATTTAGATCTTATCTGAGAGAGTACTCACTAGTGTAGAGCATGTTCTGCTTATTCTAAGCAAATCTTTCTTTTTCTGATAATATGGAAATGACATATGTTTAATAAATTAAAATAAAATCTTCAAAGGTTTCAAATAAACCTAGGTTTTACTAAGTAAGACTGACAAGTGTTTTCAGTTGTTTGAAATAAACCTTACAGAATAAACAACAAAAGGAAGCACACTCATTACATGTATTTCTGAAGTTTAGTCTGCGAAACAACAAATTATAACATTCCTTACAATGCTACTGATGGCAACAGCAGGGTAGCTAAAAGAATCTTAGTCAGTCTGGACAATGCTCATGTCACCTGTATTGCTGCATGGGTCATGGAACGTGTGCAGCTGAAAGAGAGTACTCTACAGAGTTATAGCTTCTATGGAGTAAGTTTCCTGGATTTGTAAGTACCTAAATGGATTAGTTATGATGGGGATCTCATTCTATGCTTATTCCTTAAGAAAACTAAATTGATTCTGCAGTGTTAAAGTACGAAATAAGATGACCTATGCCAGCCTGTATGCATGTCACCCAATCTAGACAGTTACTTCCTGGGGAACTACTTTTGCATGAAATAGGTGAGAAACAAGAGTTGTAGAAATGTGTGCTGAAGTAATAGCTGTAAGCAGGTGATACTTTCCTATCTTTATTACTGTGGTGTCTGTATCATTGTGAGGATGTGTTCTGCACCTGTGGCTTCATGGGAAACGAGGTGAGTTGAGGAGGAGGCTCAGACCTCGTGAATGGAGAAGCAAAATAATAAAAAGCGCAGGGAAGTGGAGTGACTGGTTGTAGCCAAGCCATCCAAAACGATTTCTACAGCCAGTATGAGACCACTGACTTCTCTAACACCTGCATTCTACGCATTTCTGCTTATTCACTGACAAGTCAAGGAATAAACTCCACAAATTCAGCGCGCTGGACGCTCAACGTAAAAAGCAATCGTACTGTACAAACAAAAACAAGTGCGCAGACACATTTCCAGAAAGAGTTGGAGACCAAAGGCCAAGAATTAAGGGGGGAAAGTCTCACTTGTGGAAGTCCTCAATGCAGTGGATGTGGTTCCCTGCGTCAACAGTGAAGGGGATTCCGTCCAGGCTGCGGTGGCACACCACACAGGTGAAGCAGTGTGGGTGGTAGGCCTTGCCTGTGGCTCGCAGGATGCGTTCCATGATTGGCTTCATACAGATGTTACATGTCTCCAGGGTATTCTGTGGGTTAACAAGCAAGTATTCTGTTAGACAGGGCTGAGAATGAGAAATCAAACAGCATCTTTAACAACTGTGTAGATAGTATTCATTTCTGACGTTTTGTTCTTTTTTCATATATATATATATTGAATTTAGTGCAGAGGGCATTACAGTAATCTCATTTGGCCAATACATATTGCCATGATGTTTGATTGAAGTTCTCTAAAGCTGGTATCAGAGAAAAGCTACTCCATATGAAATCATCATTAAAATATTACAGTGCTTCGTCAAACCAACAGAAAGGAAAATATTGTTAAAAATTGAAAAGCATAGGAGTGGGAGCAAAAGGCTCTGCAATGCCTGTCATTTTGAAATGAAAGCAACATAAGTGGGCACTTAAGTGTTTTCTTATTACTATGGAAATAGTGTTTGCCTATAAATACCAAGGGAAGAGAAAAACTGAAAGCAGATTGTGGAAAAAGTGTTTTTTCCCCATCAGTGTGTTGTTATCACACTTGAGTGGCAGAAAATGAGGGAGAAAACAGAACCACTTAATTTTTTTTTCTTACATACATTTTTTCAGGACTGATACATCTTTCAAATTGAATTCTGAATGCAATCTGCTTGTGAATGGAATATTGAGAAAAAAAAATCTTGCTGGATGGACTTGAGTTAGAAATAAATATTCACGACAGTTTAGGGCTTAGATAGGTCATAAGGGGTAAAGACATTTTTTCCTGTTTCAAAGAACAAATGTTTTTTGTTGTTCAGTAAACATCTTGAACCTACAGTCAGTAATTGACCTCAAATGACTCTGCTGAGCAAAGGACTACATGTGCCTTCAGAGGAGTGAGGGAGGAAATGGGTATCTGATTAAAACATTTCTACAGCCATCCTCACAACACAAAAGTCACAGACCATTCTTAAGAGGGAGGATGGCTTACATCCTGACTGAAGGCCTTCCAACCTGACATGCAGGAATATAACTTATTAGTATTAAGAGCATATTTTTATTGTGGTATTTCTTCCCAGGTCAAAATAAACTACATTTGCCTGATTTACTGTTAACACTGCTGCCTCATAATTGTAATTAGTTTCTCCTATATGGCATTTTTGGGGGAACATCATCTGTCAATTGAAAAGAATTGGAACCAAAGCAAAAGATCACAAAGTTAAATACTGTACTGATCATGACACTGAGGTGTGGTAATTGGCCATGGTGCTCTTGTCAACAATAGATAAGCTGTCAAAACCATTGTCTCCTGTTAGTAATTCAGAAGTGCCTTCACCTGTCTAGGTGTAAAGAATTTCTTAATTACTTTCCAAGTAAACCTAAGGCTGTTAGTGCACAAATTCCATTTAATGGCCCAGAATGCAATCTGCTAGACAGATTAGCAGAAAGAGTTATGAGAGATATTTTTTAAATCACTCCATAGTTTTATGACAATAATGAAAATTAAACCCCAACCTTTTAGTTTAGACCTTTTAGATCATTTTCCAGCAAAGTTTCTGAAGGATGTTCTTGGTCACTATTGTGATGATTTTCTTGCAGTCATCACTGAAAACAATTAGTTCTGGTCTCATAAAATTGGTTCTTTTATTGAAAAACCTAACTTTTCACAGTTCAACTCTGAACAGATTTAAATCCATTTAGGATCTTCACTTTTCTATCAAATGTCTTTGTAAATTGAGATGTTAATACAGCTGAATAAACTCTAGAATCCTTACAATTGTTTCAAAAATTTCAATCTGGGTTTCATTCCAATTACAGCACAGAAACAGCCCTGGATAGAGTAACACATGATCTTCTGAATCATATAGATTAAGATGCTCTTTCCATTTCCATTCTGGTTTTTCTGAACCTTAGTGGTGCTCTGATACATTAGCTCACGACAATATAGTTGGTCCTAAACTATCTTTCAATCAGAGATTTTTGTTTCATTGAGTCCAAGTCTAGCAAATATTACCTGTGTTGTCCCTTGGGATTCTGTTCTTTGTTCAGTTTTATTCTCTTTATATGTTACTTCTAGATCATATTATTTATAATCTGTGTTGATGTTCACTTGTGTGCTGATAATGACATAATAATACGTCTTTAAAATCCAATGACTGCACCTCAACATTGTTCTTACTTGAGTGTATACTGACATCAAAACTTGGATATCCCAAAATATTCTAGAGTCTTGTTTGCAGATTCTCACAAACAATTTGACTTTTCCAAACATACCTGTTAATAGTTAATAGTCACTTTAAGAAACTGATGTGATAAAGCTGTGTTACTTTGGCTGTACATTAAGTTTTGAATCACACATTAAAAACTGTAAAAATATATATTATATATTGAAATGTTGCCAAAGTTAAATATTTTCTTTGTCTTATTGAAAAAGCAGACCGTGCTTTAATTTAATCCATAATGGACTTTTTGCTAGATTTACAAGCTAGCATTATGATGACTAGATCCTGTTTGAAAAAACAACAAAAAAAACTTATTAAAAAAAGTGCCAATGCAACTCCTGTTTTGACATCTCTACACTGGCTCCAGTGACAAATAGAACTGATTTTAAAATCCTATTACTTACACTGAAAAAACTAAATGTGATGGCACCAAAGTTGTAGTCTGAGTTATGTCTGGGTAGCAACCTTGGCATGCTTCGAGGTTGACTGACCATGGTGCTCCAAGGGTGATGTTTAGAAGGAAAGGAGAAGTAAATTTTCGTGTGAGGGCTTTGTGGTTGTGGTATTCCCTGCCAGATCATGTCAGAGGTTCACCCAAAAAGGCTATTTTAAAATCTAGGCTTAAGACCTATTTTTATAATCGGGCTTTCTGATTTTGTATTTGCATGTTACAGTCTTATTAATCATTTTATCTATTTAGTTATTTTTAACATTTATTTTTGCAACAATTTATATTTTACCATTGTGCAGAGTTCTGTGAACTATGTGACATGGCATGAAGTGTGCCATATTAAAAAAAGATTACATTTCTATCTCCAGCAACAAATTCTGCTGCTATTGCCAATGTTGCACTTTGGAGATAAATTAAACAACATCTGTATGCTGATAGCAAAAACAAAAGTTCACTTATTTTGCTCACTCTTTTACTTCAGATTTCTAAGGTATCATCTAATTCATTCAGTGTTATTCACAGTTTCAAAATTAAACATAACATAGTTTCAAAGCGGTTTTGCATTGGTTACTCCTACATATATTATATAGTACATACAAGTTCCACAGGAAGATAACTACAGCTACAGTCATGGAGTGGCATTTTGTTATAATTGGCTGCCAAGGGATATAGTTTATTGGCAAAGCTTTGAGCAAAACGACTGTATTTCCATACACTACCACAGCATGTAAACAGCAACAGCAGTACTTGATTTTATTCATGACCTTTGTGCTGTGTTACAGGGTTAGATGATTAAATGACACTTGTATGATTACCGAACCACATCAATTACTGAACCTTGTGGTTGTTCAATGCCAAAGGTATTGCAGGGTATATTTGCACTGAAATTTATAGTCTTCACAGGCATAAAGCATTTATCGGTCAAAGTTCGCTGAGGCAGCAATACAGTTATCCACCAACATAAATCCATTCCCAGTTCTCTTCTGAGAAGCAATCTGTACACGCTTCCAATTTCTCTGTATTAATGAGAATAACAGGCATCACAATTAGGAAAAACAACCCTGGTAACAGGACAATGATACATAAAGCTGTCTAAAATGCAGGCAGAGTAGCTAGACATTTTATTAAGGAAAAGGGTTCCCACACTGACATTGTAAAATCTATTCTTTAAGTTCATTACTAAAAGTTTACATATCACACACATGATTTATCTTACTTTAGAAAACATACATATATATATACTTAAAGACTCTGCAGATATGATAGTTCAGGTGGAACAAGTAAAGCTTTTCTCAGCTGGTGTGTGAAAATACAATGAAAGCTTTCAAACCAGCACTGGAGTAGTCAGTTTGATGTGATCTGTCCTTCAAGTCATTTTCTCAGGAACCTCTTAAATGCTTATTGAGCACCAAACTAATAAGATGTGAGGTTCTGTTATACACTGGCTAACCAAAACCTTGGATTTGTATCACTATTGTAGCACTCCAGCTGGAGATTTAACTTGTCTCAACTGTCGTCATAGAGGGAGAAGAATTCTCGCCTATCACAAAAAAAATAAATGACGTACCAAAAATCTACAAGGGCATTTTTTTTCATGCTTTTGATTTACCAAGTAATGGAGAACACATTCTCATTTATAATAGTGCCCTTCTGAGAGAAGAACCTGTGTCAGGAGTACCACAGCAATGTGATAGAATCCAGAATCCTAACCACTGCTCCATGCTGCTACCTTACCATTCCTTGTGGGTGGGTTCTATTTGAAGAAGAATACATTAATCATGTTTAAAACACTCTTATTATTTGATGTTCAAGAACTTGCAGCCCGATGCAAACTTTTTTCTAAGGTCAATTGTTTTGTATGCCTGTCATTGCAGGAGCGTGAGAGAAGAACCTTTATTCGGACAAGTGTAATTAGCTTTATATCTAGCACCAGGTGACAAAAATATGCCCTCAGAGGTAAAGAAACTGCTGAATTAGATAATCATTCTAGCATACCAGAGAGAGTAACAGTGGTAACAAGAATTATAACAAGAAACATAACAAATGTGTTATCCAATCATTATGAATAATATGTTAAGTAACACAGTGCTGACTTCACCATCACAGTGAATATTACTTTTTTAACTATGATTTTTATAAATGTCTGATGCACGGAAAAAAACAACAACACAATAACAAACTACTGCTGTGTTCAATGTAGAGTATAACAAAAAAGGAGAAAAGGAGAAGAAATGCAATTAATTTGCCCACTAGAGGGCTGTAGATGCCTAGGGATTCTGTTCCAGCACAATGCATTTTCTTTTAGCTTCCTATGTTTCACTAAATGTTTACTCAGAACACTAAACAAACAACTGGCCACCTGAGGTGAAATAAATTTAGGTCACATGGTTTTTCA